GTGGGGAGTTTCTTGCCTTTTGGGAGGTCTGAGGTCTTCTGCCAGTGTTCAGTAGGTGTCCTGTAGTTATTCCACGTGTAGATGTATTTCTGGTGTATCTGTGGGGAGGAAGGTGATCTCCGCATGTTACTCTTCCGCCATCTTCCCCTCGTCCCTCTGTAAGGTTTGATTGAGTGCTTTGGGTTTCTACCCTCTGTTTTGCAGTTTCCCTGTAAGACCTTCTGTGGTCAGTGACTCAGCCATGCTAACAGCTCCCAGATCTACATCTCTGCCTCTCTCTGGAGTCCCCAGCATAGAATGTAGACGCTCAGCCTCTCTGGCGTTTCCAGCACGGCGTGTAGACGCTCAGTCTCCCTGGAGTCCCCAGCATGGCGTGTAGACGCTCGGCCTCTCTGGAGTCCCCAGTACGGGGTGTAGACACTCAGCCTCTCTGGAGCCCCCAGCACGTGCAGACGCTCACACACAGCAGGCCTCCCACTCCTGCTCACCTTCCCGGGCTGCCTCTCTCTGCTCATGACATCTGTACCTGCCCTCATGCTCAAATTAGAAGCTTTGCATCAGCCTTGATCTCTCCCTTATTTCGCTTATGTGACCAATTCACAGTTTCTCCCTCAGAAAGGTCTCTCTTTTCCTCACTTGCCTAGCTCTGTCATTGCCTCTCATTTGGACTTTTATGGCACCTAATAATATGATTAAAGTTTATTGACCACAGTACAGACTTGATATGCATTTAAATATACAGCAGCCTATGAGGAAGATGTTACTAATGTTGTTGTTATTATCATTTTACAGATGAAGAGAAAACAAGGTTCAGAGAAGTTAAACAGTTTCTTAAATTCTCAAAGCTGCTGTTGGATTTGAACTTAGATCTGATTTCAGAGCCTCCACCGTCTTTGAAATCTTCCTAATTGCTGCAAAATTTCCCTTCTTGAGACCTTGTTTCAATCCACACTGCCTTCTCCTTTCCTCTGAATGATCTGTTAATTACTCTTCAAGAATCATCTTACAGAACATCTCTTCTCTTTCCAATTTCTCCAGGGTAGAAGCAGATGCTTTTGCTGGGATTCCACAGCACTCTGTACACGCATCAACCTTGGCCATTATTATTTTGTATTTTAATTATCAGCCTGCACATTCTTGAGAGAAGAAACCTCTAATTAATGTTCGTATTTACAATATCTCTACTCAGTAGGAGCTGGGTAGGTTTTTATTAAAGGAATGCTTCTATAAATACTGTTCATTGGGGAATTTAATAGTTGCTCTTTTATTTTCATAGGAATGCTATTCATTTTTTTCTGCTAAAATGTAAACTTAGCAGTTGGGAATAACTGCTTTTTTAAAAAAATCATTCAACATCTGTTTATTCAGTGGGAAATAGTACTTCAAAATAGCCTGAACAGGCACAGTTTTTTTTTCCTGTATACTTTATTTTATTATTATTTTTATTGAGGTATAGTTGATTTTACTATATTATATTAGTTTTCAGGTGTACAACATAGGGATTCAAAATTTTTATAGATTATACTCCATTTGAAGTTATCTTAAAATATTGGCAGTATTCTCTGTGCTGTTTAATATATCCTTATAGCTTATTATTTATATATAGTAGTTTGTACCTCTTAATACTTGCTTTTTAAACTAACCCCTCCTTCCCCTTTTGGTTTTCTGTTCTCAACATAGGGAGATTTTAATAAGAAATCCATTTCCACTTGTCCCCCAAGTTCCCACTCCTGTTTCGTATGTGGTGACCTCTATTTACTCTGATATCTTTGTTCCCTCAGCCTCTTTTTCTGTGCCACCCCATATGCCTGTATTCTATTTTTCCCAAGTTTTGCTTTCTGCTAAGCAACAGGTAATGTGTCAGCACTAGTGTTTCACTGCTCACTTAAAGCTTGAGTTCAGATGCTGTTTTTCATCTTTTATGACCATGATGGAAATTTCAGGTCCTAGATATGGGAAAGATATTTTGGGGCAGTAGGATCTTATGATTTTCTTCAAATCACACCCCATTATGTCTTTGAAGAAAGCTTCATACATATCTTTTCTGTAATCATCCTTCCAAAATTGGTAAAAAGTCCTTTGCAGTTGCCAAAACTGTGGTGTGACTGATAAGTTACAAACAGGAAAGTGCTCGTCTCTGCCAAGATGCCAAGATGCTTGAATCTGAATTGTACAAACCTCTGTCTCTTTTTGGAGAAGATAAGACTTTATTTTTATGAGGAAACAATGAAGGCTTATCTTGTACATCTCCAGAATTTGAAAATGTATATCTAAAAATGGGAAAAAAACATTAATATATCCAGGTTCTGATATCAGAACTCTAACAATATGTTTTTAATTTATTAATCTGAAAATATAAGGATAAAACAAATATCATGTAAAAATGTGTTAATGTGAATATATCCTTGTAGCCATTTGATAAATACAATCAATTTTTGAATTGTTATAATAAAATGAAGTATTTATTAATTTTTAAAAATCCTAAGAAAAACAAACAGGATTTAAGATAGTAAGTTAAAATAATCTGAAAACTAATTTAACTGTCAGTCACATGAAACACATACTTCCACATAGAGTTCTTGAACAGATAGCACTTTAAGTTTAAATTCTCTGTTCCTAAGTAAAACAATTTAGAACTCCCTCAATTGGTGTTAAACCCAGAATAGTTCATTATCCACTTTCCCATGAAAACATCAATTTTTGGAAGAATTCCTCTTCAAAATGAGTCCAAGCTTGAAGGAAATGATGAATACATTAGTAATGGGATGTAAAAGCACACTGCATGTGGCTCATTCCATCAGCTAGCCCCATTTCTTTATTTTATATGTGAAGAAACTGAGGCCTATTGGTACTAGAGGTACAGAGAGAGACATGAGGTGCATGAATAGGCACTAATCCAGTTGCTTGGTCCAAAGCTTTTTGTTTCTTGTCACCATGTGGCACCTTGCTTCCCCAGCGTGAGGTGAACGTGCTCTGAGGGCTGGGCAGAGGGACTGTATTTGGAAGGTAAAATCAGTACATAAGCAAAACTGAAAATTCTAGACTTGTCCTGTGTTGGAGTGCAAGGGGAAAAATAAGTAGCAAAGGATGTTGGTTATTCCATTTATTAGTTACATCAGTGTTTGGCTGACTTAGTATAATTTGCGTGAGAAGGGTTCAAGGTGTCCTGAAACCATGTGTCTCGAGGCCATGGATGGATGACCTTTCTGACTTGCCCATGCATATACTCATTTGCTGATGGAGTGAGACGAGGAGACTATTTGAAACGCGTGGAAACATTTCTTTTCTGGCATATTGTGCCTAGGGATCATTATCAAGTTCAGATATCTAAGACTTAAGCCTGTGTTCTTATACTGGTATTTTTAAAAGAAAGAAATTCAGTGGATTAGATAAAATTGGACTACTGTGGTAACACCTTCTACAAGTAACTAGAGCCCCCATTAATCAGCTTTATACATTTTAACAAAAAAATGTTCTCTTGCACAGCTAATTCTCTTTCCCAGAAATGAACCCCTGAATACTGATTCTATATTATAATAATTCTTTGTTTAATGAGAATAATTCCAGTTAATATTTATCTTCATGTGATACAGCTTAGGTTTATAGGCATTTTAAAATAGTAATGCTATTTCAGTCAAACTTGAGACCTGAGAAACACTTTTCATACTAAAACTAAAAATCTTGATCAGAAATTTCCTACAGTTAATTCTTTGGAAAAATGATATTAAATATTTTAAGTATCTTATTCTTTATCAAAAGTAAAGAATATTTATCCATTACTAAGGAACATTTATCCTGTGCTCTGTGCTCAACAAAGCAAGTGAAATAGACATGAGTTCTTTCCTCTGGAATATTCTGACAGATTCTAAGAAGCTTCTATGACAGGGAAGATAAAAACAGTCTTTTACCAGAAAAATTACTTTATCGTGTCTTTGAAAAAAATCACATATTTATAAAGTTTTTAGTTTATATTTGGAATTATTGATTATCAAGACCATCATGATGCATTCAAATTGTGAGGAGAAAAACCTCAAAATATAGGAACCAAATTTTCTACCCTATAGCAATATAAGTATGAAAATAAATGAGGAAATTCATACATTTAAATAGCTTAGACTCATTTGGAATTTTTCACATGTAGAAGATATATGCAATATAGAAGTTCAGTTATGAAAGTAATAGTAGGAAGATTTTATAGGTAAAATATCTCTCAAGAACACATCTTTTTATATGACTTATGATATAATACAATTGATTATACTTTGAGTACCAAATTTGTCTACTAATTAAAGTTATTACGAGCACTCTAAAGAGTACATTTACACTAGAGACAAAACTCATATAGCTACAGTTTTTAAAGAACTGATCTGTGCATTATGACAGAAAAATTTCATTAATAAGAAAACATCCATCTAGTTGGATTTCTACAGTAAAAACTTTATCGCACTGTTGTCATGAAGAAAGACCTTCCTTCTCCTTGCATATTAAGTGAGCTATGTAGGTATGCCATAAATTGTGTTATTCATGTTATAAGAGTTCTGTAGTCCATCCTTTCAGGATCTGTTTCTCTTTGAGAACTAGAAATCAATTTATAGTTTGATTTCTTCTATTTCATTCCTACTCCATTTCTGATTTTTTTTAAAATTTATGTATTTAATTTATTTATTTTTGGCTGCATTGGGTCTTTGTTGCTGCACGCGGGCTTTCTCTAGTTGTGGCGAGTGGGGGCTACTCTTTGTTGTGGTGCGCAGGCTTCTCATTGCGGTGGCTTCTCCTGTTGCAGAGCTTAGGCTCTAGGCGCGCGGGCTTCAGTAGTTGTGGCTCATGGGGTCTAGAGTGCAGGCTCAGTAGTTGTGGCGCACGGGCTTAGTTGCTCCGCAGCATGTGGGATCTTCCCGGCCCAGGGCTCAAACCCCTGTCCCCTGCATTGGCAAGTGGATTCTTCTTAACCACTGCGCCACCAGGGAAGCCCAGATTTTTTTAATATATATATATATTATAAAAGCACAAAGCCAGGACTTTCAGTATACCAGCTTCAATTTAAACTTTTGAGTGGTGGTCAAGAATTGTTGTTGGGTTGAATAGTCTTCAGAAGTTTCTGGTACATTTCTGACTTTAGAAACCTGGGATAGGAATCCCTTTCCATGTGCATATGCACTATTTTTTGAGCCTCTTCAAAACACGTTTGTGTGGGTTCTTGAATATTCTTGATGATGGTTTCTCTTGTCGAACTGTCAATGTTAATCTGAAAAGTGAAATTACATGTAGAACATAAATAGGCATAATTGAAGTTGAAAATGGAATGGAAAGGTTTAATTTTTTTCCTCCTCTCCTTTTCAGTGGAATAGGGTAATTTTGTTTGCAGTTTCATTGGTATCTTAAAAGACAACCCCCCCCCCCCCCCCGCCGCAACAAAACATGAGGACCAAGACCAGGGAAATACCAGAAACCGTTGCTTCCTTAGGCAGATGCAAGTGGTGTGTTAGTGGAGTCTGCAAGCAAGGAGTTTATGAGATGGAGGCCTCTTTTAAAGAAAAGGGAAATCGGGGCTATTTTGAAGTTTATCTTCCTTAAACAGTCATGAACGTTGATTTAACTGACTATGCCCTGAAATGGGAAGAAAGTGAAGAGAAGTGGAGAAATAGAGGAGAGAAGTGGTTATTCAATAAACCAAGTATTTTCCAGACAAGAGTTTTGAGGAACAAGTCAGTAATGTTGGACTCTCCTGAAAGACAGGAATCTCATGAACCACCCTCTACCCTTATCCTCTTGACCAGAACTTTCATTCCTCGTTTTCTCTCCACCAGCAGGAGTCTCAGAGTGTCCGTTTCATTCATGACTCTTTATTTCCTTTCTCCAGTTGTAAGTGATTGGCAGGAATGTCAGTGTGAATGTTTGCTGGGTTTGCTGGTTTTAAACTAAGGTGAGCGGTGATGGCACACTTTGCCCACCCCCACTGGGGAAGTCACCACGTCTATTCTATCTGTTGTTTCTTGTAGCAGAGTCAATTCTTACAAGGACTTCTTTTTTTTTTTTCATTTTCCTGGGAATTAAGATAACTCAATGAGGAGAGGCTTTGGAGCCAGACAGGCCTAACTTTCCTACTTAACTGCTGTGTGACACTGAAGAAGTTAAATTAACTTCTCAGATTCTCAGGTTTCTTAACTGTAAAATAAGGTTAACAATACTGACTACATAGCACTATAGGAGGTACTGGATGTAAAGTGCTGGCACGTACGTGTGCTTGACAGACACTAACACTTTCCTGGGATGCATTGATTTCCAGTTGCCGGCACTGTCAGGTGTGGTTACCTCTCTAGGGGACTGTGGCTGGATGTAAGTCCTGTAAAGCTTCTTGGCCCTAGAAGTTCTGCTCCTCTGTGAGGCGACTTTCTTATAGGTTTCACACGCCATCCAGAATTTAATATTTTCATCGCTGTGCTCCATTTTTAAGTATGCTGCGTAGACTACCGGACCATCTAAAAGTAGAGGAGAAATCAGTTTATTTTCCTGGGTCAGCATCCTAAAAATATGTGAACAATATGTAGTGCAGTTTAAAACTAACATCTGAATCAGAGCTCCCAAATTATTTAACAAGTGAGTATTATATAATGATACACACACACACACACACACACACACACACACACACACACACACCCTACATCTTAGTTACCTCTATGCGTCTGAAGCATGTTTTGACAGTGCCAGTTAATGGTGGGATCATTCCTTCATTCCTTTATTCCGTCTTACTCAGAGCAAAATGCCCACTAGTGTGGCTGGGTCTAGGATGGAATAGGTCACAAGGACCCAGAAACAGGACTTAAATGGCCTCAGTGGGAGAGAGCTCTGATCATGAACCTGACATGAAAAATCTAAAACCTCAATACAACCTGGAGGGTAAGAGCAAGGTTTAGAATCTAAACAGGCAGGTCAGGGTTGAAAGGAAAATGTCCAGACCATGTAGAAGTGATAAACTGATGAGGCTGTGTAGCCCGGGGTGTTTCTCGTATCCAGTTAGAGCAGGAGAACATGGATAATGAACAATTCAACTTCATATCCATGGTTTATGGTTCACACCAGAAATGAAGGACAAGGCAGGGAATGGAATTCGGATAGGGTGTTGGAAACTACCTCAAAATCCAGAACAGGACAGTGAGGATGTGCAGAACAACCATTAAGTGACACTTGATGCCAGGATCAATAGGCATCCTCAGCTCTGGTCTTTTCTGAAGTGGGAAGATGGGGGCAAACGTGTGGGAGGAACTTTCCCAATTGAGCCACTATCTTGTGGGCACCAGTGTTTGAAGAAGAGGGTTAAGTGAGTTTTCACAAATCTAACACATTAGTCAGAATCTTTGGGGGGATCAAGTATTCTCAAGATTCAAGATGAACCCTCTGAGAAAAATATTAAACTTCTTTTGGTGACTAGGAAGTCTCTTGGCATATCTGAGAAATTGAATTGCTAAATGATAAGGCAATGTAACTTTCCAATGATAGTGACAGGAATGTGTATGTAGGCGCATTGAACACGTGATGAAACATAGGATTTTGACTAACAGTATCTTAGTATTGTTAACTGTTACAAGAAATAATAGTAATCAGAGGGAATAGCAATGGTGAGTAAAATCATATTTTCCTAGATCTTCACATTAGAGATTGGATCTAATGAGTTTCCTAGCACCAGAAAGCCAGGCTCCTTGACTCCTTGGCTTCTACTGCTCTGTCAGCACTGATACAAAAATAAAGACAAGAATTAAGGTATTCTGTATTCAAGAGAAAAACTCAAACAGAGGCAGTTTCTAATAACACCTTCTAAGGAGACATTAGGGTTGGGGAAAGCTGGTGATCTGCAAGAAATGTGCTATCCTAGGAAGACACAGAATTAGAGCTTGGTTCATTAGTATCATGGGAGCAGGTGTAGCCTTCACGACATTGGGTGGGAGATGGTTCAAAAGAAGCATTGTTTGAACTGAGAGGACAGACGAGATGGGGGTAGGGCTTGTATAAAAATGTAACAAGGAAAGGATATGGATTTGGTATTTCTACCCAACGGGGGAATATATTTTACCTTACACTTAAAACAAGAAGTTTGTTTTCACAACAGTTAACTCTAAGATGTGCCTCACCTCATCACAGACACAGAAAGCTGGGGTCAGAGAATACAGATGTAGCAATTGGTATTCCTGTTAGAGAAACAGCTGAATGGGTAGGCAAGCCAAAAAACAAAACAAATCAAAACAGAAAGCCATTTCTGGCATAACAAGTGAAGCTGGAAGCCAGTAATTTGCCGTGTATATTGAAAGAACTAGAATCCTATTTAAGAAAATAAAAAGCAATTTTTTATACTTTGTACTTAGAGAAATTTTGACTGAGTGCTTCATTAGGAACAGAAAATAAGGATCCTAAAATAAATGAGTTATGGAATAGGAAAAAAAACAAGCTACCAGATGACATCTACAGATCCTGGAATGAGACTTAGCCACCAGGCTGCTTGCGTGGGTTAAGCGGATGGGGTGGGGAGCAGGTGGGGGGATAATTTGGAAACCAGTGTTAGATTACATGTTATAGTATTCTGAATTTGTGTTTATATTTATGTCTAGCTTAACTGTATAGTAAAATGTTTAGGGATTCTTATTCTAGAAGCTGCCTGCATCTGTATCTGCCTTTCTCAACTTCCCTCCTGATTGAGTGGAGGAAGGGTCTTCTGGGGCTGGCCGAATGGTTCAACAGTTCTCAACATTCCCAAGTCCTCTGCTGAGGAACCCAACCGTGTGGTGCCACATATATTTTTTAACTTTTTTTTTTTTTTTTTGCGGTACTCGGGCCTCTCACTGCTGCGGCCTCTCCCGCCGCGGAGCACAGGCTCCGGACGCGCAGGCTCAGCGACCATGGCTCACGGGCCCAGCCGCTCTGCGGCATGTGGGATCCTCCTGGACCGGGGCACGAACCCTCATCGCCTGCATTGGCAGGCGGACTCTCAACCACTGCGCCACCAGGGAAGCCCCACATATATTTTTATATAGATACCCGATGCGGTAGACGGTGATATTGTTCTCAGTTATTCCTGCCCTTCTTGGAGGAGGATTGTACTTTCATGTCCCACTTATTTCAGCCTTGCTCGTTGGACTTGTGTCAGCCAGTGACACCCATGCACAGTGTCATGTGCAGGTCGGGCAGAAGGCTTCAGGGGGACTATCAGGTGGTTCTGCCATTGCTCCCCCCCCCCCCAAAAAAAAAAAAAAACGTGAGAAGGACGCATTCTGGAAGAGCTGCTCATTTAGTCTGAAGGCCAGAATAAAGACCTGCAACAGAGCTACAGTTGACCCAGTCATTGTGTAGCATGAACAAGAAATGCACCTTTCTTGTAGATTAGTGAGATTGTAGTACCATGTATTACTGTATCATATCCTAGTGAAAGCTGACCTGGACCGCTTGAACTTGTCTGATATTATGGATAGGACTCTGGTGTGTAGAATAAGTAGCTCACATGATTGGTATGTTTTATAGAATTTTGTCTTCATTAGGCTAATTGTTATGCTATGTAAGTTAAGCAGCTGAAAATAGTTGTACAAAAGTGTTCCAGGGGGACTTCCCTAGTGACGCAGTGGTTAAGAATCCGCCTGCCAATGCAGGGGATTTGGGTTCGAGCCCTGGTCTCGGAAGATCCCACATGCTTCAGAGCAACTAAGCCCGTGCGCCACAACTACTGAGTCTGCGCTCTAGAGCCCGCGAGACACAGCTGTGAGCCCACGTGCCACAACTACTGAAGCCCACGCACCTAGAGCCCGTGTTCCACAACAAGGGAAGTCACCGCAATGAGAAGCCCGTGCACTGCAAGGAAGAGTAGCCCCCGCTCGCCACAACTAGAGAAAGCCTGCGCTCAGCAACGGAGACCCAACGTAGCCAAAATAAATAAATAAATTTATAAGAAAAAGAAAGTGTTCCAGGAATCCAAGCAGTTATTAAAGTCAGAACTGAATTGCTCACTTTAGAATTTCTATTGACTCATACAACAAGGGGATTACAAGGTGGGAAAGCCTTTTCCAAATTAGGCGATGCAGCCCAGTGCGGCCCGTTCTGAGGTTTTAAATGATGCTCCTTTCTGAGCACTAACGCTCCAGAGACCGTGATTCTGCTTGAGCAGAGTAACAGGGATAAACAGGAGAACTGCTCATTAAACTGAGAAGCTGGAAGAACTAGGTTTATGTCACACATAGTGTGCGCTTTTTCCTTGAAGAATGAGAGTGGTGCCTTTGGGACTCCCTAGTGTGTTCTTTACAACTTAGTCACTGAAATTAGTATTTCTGTGACACATGCTGGTATCTTGATGTAAATAGAAAGGAAACATGACATTCCTCTTGTCTGAGTCAGAATGGTGGCCCATCTATTCCAGGATTGTTTTCTGCAAGGCGGCAAGGCTCATGGCATCATTAAATCCTAAAAATGGGCTGTGTGGCAGTCTGCCACCAGAAAAGTGTCTGAAACTATGTTAAATCCATTTTATTTTTAATATGTACCACTGGAGAAAATGAATTCCATAATTCTACCAGCCTCTGTGAAGTTTTAAAATAAGTCTGTTTTATTGAAATTCTCTGGTTTGGCTTGCATGATATTAATCATTTCTGGGTTTTCTCCTAACTTCTGTTTGCTGTATTATTATAAAAGCAACTTAAATACAGAAATTTGTTAACAACTTGATATATTTCCTTTCACTCTTTCAGTCCTTTGTTCATGTTTAACTTCCTACCTAAACAGTATTCATTTAACTTTCCACCTAAACAGTATTCATTCATCTTCACAAATACAGACACACTCTCAAATTACCTTATTGGCATTATACAATGAAAGCAATTTTGTATCACTCTTTCATACTTAATATGGTGTAGCAAACACTTTCTCTTATTTACTCTTTTTTTTTCCTCCTGTTTACTCTTAAAGGTCATGTAACAGTCCATTGCAGGACTACTACACTGTATTATATTTAGCCGTGCTACCATTATCGAATATTTAGATTATTTCCCCTTTATATGTTGTAACGTATTCTACATTGACCATTTTGGTTTATAAATCTTTGCGTCTCTAATTACTTCCCTAGAATTAAAAGAGTAGAATTACTAGATTGATGATGTAATATTTTTGGAGACTCTTGATACCTATTGTAAAATTGCTTTCAGAAATACTTCATTGTTTTTCACTAGTAATAGCAGTGTTGACATGTCTACACACTCCTTCCTTCCCAATCAGATTGGGTAAGACTAGTGACTTGTAGTTATTTAAATTTGTGTTTTAAAAATATTAATGCTTAAACATTTTTTCTTTATTCCAGACCATTTCTTTTCTTTCTGTGAATTTCAAATTTTTCTTTTGCATTGTTACTGTTTTCTTGAATTTCCAGGTCTCTTTGTATATTAAAGACACTATCTGTTTTACTTATGGCATTATCTTCTGTTTTACTTTTACATGTTACTTTTGTTTA